GAAATGACGCGCAGTAGCAAAACGGTCTCGTAAGGCTAGTTGTCTGAAGCGCCTACCTTGACGCTCTGTGGTACGGCTCGGTGGACCAGTTGGTCTTCTTCGTGTACCTCTATCTTCTTCCATCCGCACACGACACACACCCATTACCGTCACTGCAGTACAATTAAGACGGCGACCGATTTTGCGTTAGGACAAACCAACATCTCGATAGGCAATACTTCGTTAACATGGTCGTAATTTGGACGTCTTCGAACTCGAGGCATTTTGTTATGCTTAACACTATAAAATGAAAGAGCAATAACTAAAAATATCTGTACTACCCAGCTCTCAAAAACTGCTTTCTTCACAAAAACGAAGAGAACATTTGAACAAAGTTAAACAAAAACAAGTATGAAACGTTGACATTGCTGCCACGGCATTATGTTGCCAAAAAAAAAACTAGTTGCAGAAATTATTTTTTCTTCTATTATTTATTAACAGTTTACAAGTACAAGGTTTACAATATCTGGAAATAGAGACCTTATCCCCCTTTACACCGCCAACTATACTCCGACAGTCAGCGACTATTGCTATCTTCATCTTGACACCGCAAATAATAGCTCTGCTAATTTTCAAAACCAGTCAAATTATTTTGTTTGATTTCCTTAATGCTATCAGGCTAAAAGTATGTATATGTAGCTAGTGCCAGCCTCTGCTAGCTATAAAGTGGCACTAAGTTTGTAAACATTAATGAGGAAGTATAAATGTACTTTTTGCTGCTTGTCCCCGTAAGACCGAATAGAGGGCGCCTGTATTACACTTGGTCTGGAGTATTTTTAAGGCAGAGTAGTGAAGTTTATTTAGGCTCGCGGCAGAAAGAAAATTTGGCCATGGCATCTCGCAAAGTATAACAATAGTTGCAGTCAACACTACGTGTGGCATGATGTTTGGGTTTTCCTAATTTTGGAATGTACAATGCACTTAGCGCTTCAAAGTGCGCAAGATGATGGATGTCTTGTAACTCTAGTATCTTCTGGCTACTGTTAGAAGATCATATTTTTGTTTAGAAAATAATGACAGCCTTTTTGAACAACTATTGGGAATAAAGCAAAAATAATTTTAGAAATGTATTCGTTATTCTGAATATCAATGGATTTAGTAACATTTTATGTAATATAAATGTATCAGTAATCACATAATCTTACATCAATCATTAGTTTGCAACGCCTACTTAAATAAAATAAAAAAGAAACACATTTTTCTTTGTAACCATGAAAACAAATGTGACCTGTGATACATAGTTGACTTCGCAGAAAAAGATGCTATGTACCTTTTTTTTTTTGGAACCACTCAAAAACGAACCGTCGGGCACAGTATCTAGAAAAACCATCATGTAATGTCTAAAAAGTGCCAATGAAAAAGTTCCATTAGTTTTTTTGATATTTCTTAAAGGCAGGAAAAAGACAAGGGTTTGGCCAAATTTTGGTTTTTCCCAAATACCTCAGTAGGCCATGCAATTTTTTTTCAACGCCGTGTAAATACCCCCCAAAGAATGGAGGTTTTTCCTAATCCAACCTAAGCTATATCTCCCACAGGTATTGAGATCCTATTACTTAGGATCCTTATCTTAGTATATGAGGTAAGCTAGGATGTTTCTAGCCATCTATCGTAAACCACATGGAGTGGAGATATTCGAGATTTTTCAGAAGCTCCCTATTCAACTTGTGGCCCACCACTGGCTTATAGCTAATAGGAATAAACGTTCATTGTCTTGCGTCATCTCAAGTGCTTGCCCATAAGAGTATGCTGCAGCTACTGCCTCTTGGGTACACTGGAAGCGAACTCGTTTTTAACGGCTACCGGTCACAAAAAAAACATCAACTCTTCCTGTCAATAAAACGTTCTCGTTAAGTGCGCTGCTACCAACTGCGTTCTCACATTTCGGTATGGTTCTACTCGTATAGTACCACTTATTATTAAATTAAATCTAGTTGCATGTTAATACCTCGTAGAACATATACTATCCCAACAGCCGCGAAGCGTATGGCAAAAAACTGTTACACAATCTTTCACGCTCACCGAGGACAAAAAAGTATAACAAGAAACCAAGGACTAGGTGCCAGCGGGTAAAATACTCGCTGTATGATATAATACCAACATTGCTTTAATTTTTTATAATAACGTAGACTATGGGTATACCGCATATCTCATAATAAGGTGGGTAAAATTTCTTGAATATGGAAGATGCGATAGGTATTTGTTTTTTGTTGCTTTCAATGCAGAACAGTCTTTAGTATATTATGAAGAAAATAAAATAGCATTCTGTTTTAAGCTAACAGAAATGATATTTTTATTTGTTTTTAAAGTGGATTGATCAATTTGATCTACCATCAATCTTTCTGTGTCTCGTTATAAACTGATACTTGTCACACTTTCAACCGAAAAAAAAAATACAATAATTCTTCACCCAGACCTTACTGTGATAAGTTACAAACTAGAGACTTGATCCAAAAAGAGTAAAAGAAAAACAGAAATGGAAAACTGTTGTATACATAGAAAATGAGTTAAATTTTGTATGTTTCATATTAAACAGACATTACCCAATAGAAAAAGCTTCATTGTTTCTTTGAGTGAATTCATAGACAAGCTCCTGTAAAAAAAAGAACGCAGGCTGAGAGTGTGAACGTCGGTTCTGTAAACAATTTTGTTATACAGATAAGCAGGAGGTTGTTTGGTGATAATCTTATGAAACATACAATTTGAACAGTCGTAGGCTGGAGTAGTGTTGAGAAACTTGATCTCGCCTCCTACCTCCCGTGATAAAACGCACGCATGGATTTTGAAGTTTTCGTAACCTTTCTTCATCGCATAAACACTGCATCTGCATAAGTAGCATGTGGCTGTGTGACTATTATATAGAATTTTGAGATTGCTGTATCATCTTTTTAACACAGATGATGACATGCTCCGAGAAACCTGAGTGAATAATCTAGGCGCACACCCAAAAAATTCTTTTACCTGTCTTAGAATAATTTTTTCATGTTTTATACGAATATTTATTTGACTTAGGCGTCTGTTTCGAGCCTTACTCCTACCAACGACCATCACTAGTGGGCTTAGTGTTAGACAGTACTTCTCAGATCTTAATGCTAAAGTCCTCATTCAATTGATCACATGCATTTTCGATGTCCGTCTCTTCAGATGTTAACACGTTCGCTGCCAGTAAAATGCTGTCACATGTAGTCAGGGGCAAAGGGAGTTTTTGATCCTTTTTTAAATGAAAATTACTTTAAATGATACTAAAAGAGAGATATATTGTAATCATCGAATATTTTCTTACGTGAATACAAATATTTTTGTTGGTCGCCAGATGGCGACACTGGCACTGCAGGTAGAATTTGGGACAAACCGCGTGCATTTATGTATATGAGGAACAGTGTTTGTCCCAAAACCCTCCCCTGAGGAACAACTATTTTGGTCTTTTTAATGCTGCTTAAATCTGACCCTACCTTAACTTGTTGTACACGATCAGCCAACTAGTTCTCAAATAAGCTCAGAACTCCACTACGCACTCCAACACTTTCTAGTTTCTTTAATAAAATTTTATGAGATACTGAATCGAAAGCCTTTTGAAGATCTAGGAAAACTGCAACAGTCTTATTTCCATCTTGGAAATTTTAAAGAACTTGTCCTACAAGTTCTCGTAGAGATTGCTCTGTATTGCAATTTTTGCGGAACCCAAATTAACAGTTCGATATTATGTCATATTTCTCAAGAGAAGAACAAAGTCTGCTATTCAAACACTTCTCAAAAATCTTCCCAAATACATTGATAACTGAAATAGGTCTATAATTGAACATATTGTCTTTACTTCCAGATTTAAATATTGGTGTCACTATGCTTTCTTTAAATTGGCGAGGAATTACTGAGGATTTGAGACAGAGGTTAATAATGTGAGTTATAAGTTAACTGATATACTTCATGATCATCTTGATAGTTTTAGTATGTAAGCCATCTTTTCCGGGTGCGGTATTATTTTTCAGATTACAAACTATTTGCTGTCTCTATGTTATCCACTGGAGTTAGAAACAGAGTGAGCAATGTTGACGACAGGAAGGTCTGATGTATCAAGAATTGAGTTTTGATCAATCTGACTTGTTATTTGCTCACCTATATCAACAAAATATTTATTAAAAACACAGGCTATATCAGTGGGAGCGTCCAGCTACTGATTATTGTGATTAATTGATTTTACGTCATTTTTTTAAATTTTGCCAGCATTAGTTACCTCATTAATAACATCCCAGCTTATACTATAGTTATTAGCTGCTAAAAAGAATTTTTGTGTGTAATATTGATTTTTAGAGATCTTAATTAGATCAGTTACTCTGTTTCTGTAGGAGCTATAGGACTGTCTCAATATCAAATTATCATTATCTTTCATCAAACTCTGTTTCAACGCATCCCTCTTCTTGATCGAAGTAAGAATACCGTCAGTCGTCCAGGACTTGCGTTTTCTAGACTTACTATTTATTTTTAAATAATACGTTGAATGATCTATGCCTTTATATAATTCATTATAGAAATTATCAGTTGCTTTTTGGACATCACTCTCTGAAAAAACACTGTCGCAAGTCACCACTTGCAAATAATCTGTCAACTTTTTCTCATCATTTTTCTTAAATTCATAGCTGTTTTTATTAATGATACAATTACTTCCTTTCAAATACTGAGCATTGAACAAAACAGGATAATGATCGGTCATACAATTTTACTTAAATCTGTTTGTCTTCAAAAATATGTGGTCGATAATCGTAGATGATTTAGAATCTACCCTAGTGGGTGTATTAATCTGAGATATGTACCCGTTCTGTTTACGTATCTTAAATTGCTGTGATCATGTTCTCTCAATAAGTTTATATTTATATCACCCACCAACAACGAAATGTCACAGTTTGCAGCTCAGAAAAATTTGCCGGAATGTCATCTCTTACATCGCATTTATTATACTTAGCTTCATTTTAGTAAATTTGGAAGCCATTTATTTTATAACTGTTGATATTACTGATATTCCAGATCTCACTCAAAACAACTATACCTGTATTTTTATTCTTATTTAACACCGCTATGTTTATACAAAGCTCATCATAGTGAGCTTGCAAGCTCCTGATATTGTAATGAAGTTTAGTGAAGTTTAACTTATCACCTCTCTCGAACAGAACATTATTTAATTCATCAAAGTTAGAACAACTGATAGTCGTGATATTGTTATAATCTTCTAAAATAGTCAAAGCTGTATCAATATCAGTCATATATAAATCAAGCTAAACTCAAGATGATTGCAGAAAAACTGAAACTAACTAAACTGCTACAACTAATGAGTGACATGTTCTCGTCTTTGATCCACGAAAAAACATTTTCGATATCTTTCACCATTACAATACTTCATCGCGAGTAGGCATCGGATGTAAAAATGAGTTGTGGAACATTTTTTTATCGCCACAAGTTCGATCAACAAAATCAATAACCTTGTTATCTTCAATTTTTTCAAACAAGTGATTCAACAATGGATATTGATGAGTAGTATCGTGTCTGCACCGAAGAGAAAATGAGCGAAGAAAATTATAATTTAGTGAATTGTGTATGTAGAAGACCGTGTGGGACACATTTCGCCTTTTGTCAGTCCTCCGCTTGTGATTTGCATAATTTTAGTATGGCAGATTTAATCTCTAAGAGTTTTTTTCTAAATGCAGTCTGTGTTCACATACATGACGAATTAACGACACAGCCGTTAATAAAGCACACAGTGGCGTCGAACTATAAAATTACGAACGACATCAAAGGAACTTTTATTTCATATTTGAACCACCACGAAGGCCCAAGGCCTAAACACTTGGTACCATGGCACGATGGATTAACGTCCATGCGGCATGCACACATTCTGATCCCGCTTCAGAGATCCGCCGAGTGACACCTCCACGTTTGACAGTTCGATACCGTCTTCCACCTGCGGACAATTAGAACATGCATAGCTAAGTGAAACATTCTTATGATTTGCCACTGCGCTGCCAGATTTGATAGACGTCAAAGCAGCTGTAAAAGCTGCCAGAAAGGTGATAGAAGACTTTCTACTGGTTATTCCACTCCCTCTCTGTCAATAATCGACCCCCAATATAATACAAATGAATAAGTTAGAGACCTTTGCACGCTGGCTTTATAGAGGGATCCTAATAATACTCTGAACTTCTTCTGTATGTTTGATTTGGGCTTATGTTAAGCAAGTTGAGACAAGTAGAAATTGGACAAATGGTGCCTCGAAAAGTTTCATTTACCTGTACGATTTCAAGCGACATTAGGCACATTTTTCTCACAGATACAGCACTCGACGGAATATTTTCTTCTATCTTTGAACAAAGTGAACTTTAGTTCCTGAATTTCCTCACTTTTGCGCTTCCAACCATAGCCTTCACGTTCGAGAGACAAGCGAAACAAAGATGTCAGATCTAGACAATGTCATCGATATTCAAATTGAACCTGTTGTAATTAGTATTAACCATTCGGACGATGGTTCAGGTACTCCCAAGGAATAAAGAATTGTGAAAAGTGTGTGCACTTTTTTCTATAAAAGTAATCATTTGTTTTGTTAGATTATTCCAACACCATTGAGGAAAATACGGATCTGGACATGCTCGCTTTTGGACATGTTGTGTTTTGTCTGGACATAAATGGACTACGAAAGAGTTATAACGTTTGAGCGGACAACTAACCTCACTTATGTTATTCTATACATTGGTTACTTTACTCCATGGTATCGTATACATTGTCTACACATTGTCTACAGAGAAACGTACACAATTAAACTATATACATAGTTCTTGACAATTTGACAAATCCAGAGATAGGGAATCAAGGTACAGGTCGAATCTTTTCATTAGTCAGCGCAGCATGGTGTTAATATGGCCTTTGATAGTTTAGACACAAAAAAGGTACTGACTCTATAGCACGCAGCCTGCTTAGGATTTTAAGTCATGTACTGCTAAGATTTAGGAGTAACTTTTATTGCAATCTGAGTTTCTGCGTAACAATGATAATAAGTACCATCATCTTCTCTAAGGGAGAAAAACTCGCTAGGGTTGTCCTATAAGTCTTTGTTGCCCAAAGTGTGAAAACCTGTGAGAATGTCGCCAACTGAATAATTCGGTGACTTAAAAAAACGATTTTTATCTTATCAATGTAAAATGTTTTGTGAAAAATCGAATTTAGCAGAAATAAACAATCAATTCTTGCTGCAAGCTTGATTTATGTTATTCAAAAAATCTGTACATGCTTTTTTATACAGAGAGGTTCAATGGTGAGTGCACAGAGCTTGTTGCTAGACGAAAATTAAAAAAAAGAATATTTATCATTGATGTGTATCGTATCTCACACATCTTCAAATCATTCAACATTATGATCAAATATCTTTTAAATGGCGTGACCCATACTTATTCAAAACAGAAGATTGTTATATATCATACGGCTTTGATTTGTATTTGTTATGTAATCAATATACAAAAACGTTCAATTTTGACATCACCTCACCAGTCCGCTGCATTTTCTTGTTTACTTTTCTCCAATAAAAATATTTATTGGACAATATCATCAATATCATATCCAGGGTGATTAGAAACTAAACTCGTACCTTTACTCTAAGATTTCAAATGGAACACCTGCTTAAGTTTTTTCACTCGCCTGTTTACCATAATTGCTTATAGTGTTTAAGAAAGTCGACTATTAAAATCGATAATAAATAAAAATAACCGACTAAAATCAAAGCCAGCCACCCTCTCTGGCCACCATAATTGCAACTAGCTGCAAAGTAATAGCTGCGCAGGTACCCCACAGGAAAGGAGTCCTAACACATGGCTTTGTCCCAGAGTAGAAAAAATGTGTGTTCTGAGAATCATGACGATGACGATCCACCTATGGTCAGCAACAAAGTGGTTTGTAAATCACCTGGCAATGTAATAACCGTACACAGTAATGAAATGTATATTGAAAGATGAACTTGTACTCTGCAATACTGTAAAAACTATTTTCAGAACGCCTAAATTATTACAGTGGCATCTAATGATACGTGATGTCAGCTGATTAATTTCTAACCACGTTTTCTGCAACGATAGTATTTATTATAAGAAACGCTATGGATACGAGGTAGCCAATTTTAAGCACTTTTTGGTAACAAAATCAAGTGAACAAACAATGAATCATGAGAATGACAACACTCTTATTCCCAAAGCTTTGAGCACAGAAAGAAAAGCGTACTTTAGACGCTCCAAAAGATTAGTTTGTTCTATTTTCTAACGCATGGAACAGATATGCAAACAATTAAGAACGCTAAAATTGTTACAACGTAGTACAAGTGCTGATCATTCGCAGTGTCTGTGGATTTCAGGATAGATATTGACGGATCACAACAAATACATTGACCTTAGTCATCTATATACCACACCACGATAGTGCTTGCTGCATTCCATTATGGTGGGTAGCGTCGTGCTAGGTATGCTAAACAGTCGTATTAGTGTCATCGCTTTATCTTCCATAATACATGTATATTCGTTATCTGACCGATAATGACACGCCAAAATGTTAATAGAGCGGACTAACAAATTATGCTGTGACAGCCTAGTCAACATGACGTGCAAGCTTCTAACGGCGGTTGCGCCACTGTGCGTCCACCTTCGACCTCCGAGTGTCGCGCAGCCAACAAAGGATAAAATCATAATTGCAACACAATATAACATATTTCTGTGCTTATGTTTTATTTATCACACTACGCGACGGATTGCAAAACGAGGTGCGGCACTTGCTTTGCTCTGCACAGTCTGCGCACCGTATCATTTCTTGGGTAGTCTGTGGCGGCCTACAGGATATTGTCGCCGTGCTCTTTTCCCCCTTGCACCTTCACGGATATGTCCGGGAAATCCTGTTACCAGATGCTTTGAAGCATGTACTTGGAAGGAATGGCGGCAAGCAGGTTGACTCTGTACGCAATTTTCTCATCAATTAGATTGTTTGGTTAAAAAACATATGTATCACAAAGAAGACCGGCAGGGGTACTACGTATCTTGAAAAGTGATATTATGTCGTTTTTTTGACACTATATAGGTTTCTTGTGGCATTATGTAGGTGTTTCTGCAACTTAGCACTAGGTGTCGTACACTTGATGCGTACTCGTTCCGTAGCTTTACGTGTTGCCCAAATGTCACGATGCTTCAGCTATCAATGTTTGGCTCTGATAAAATGTAACATCTGCTTCAGAGATGGCATTATTGGGGGGTCTAAGCTGTAAGTTGTATACTACAGATGGGAGGAAACGACAGTACATAGTGGGGATTTCTGTGCTAATAATCCGTGCATATAATTCTTGTCTCAAATACTCTAACATGAGATGTATGCAAATCTAAAAATTAGTTGCTTTCTTGTTCAACCTGGAAATTACATTAGCAAATTTGCCGAATTCCAAAAAGGAGGTAGGTGAAATATATTAAAACTAACTAACAGGTGAGAAAATATAGTACATACAGGAATATTTATGAAACATAAAAAAATTATGAGATTTCACATTAATTTTTATTTTCAGTCATTTAAATTTTATAGAAATTTATTTTACGATGTCAAGTAGAAAATACAAATCAGCGCCTAGATGCAAGGCATCACAAAAATCTTTTGTATGTGATGCGTCATTCTTAATTTTTCTGTGATGTGGCCTAAGTACACACAACGCGGGTGCGGTGCTGATTTCCGGTAATGCTTTTCAAACTTTTTGAAAACGCAGAAAAAATGGGGAAGATCGTAATGTATAACATTGAACATAACCTCTCTTCAGAAAGGATAACACAAGACGTCTGGTAAAACTAATAGATACGTATTTCATGGGCAACATATTCAGTAATAATTTTCTCATGTTGCAAATATCCCTTATTTTATACACATGCACACCAATACATACAATTATCCAGATGTGATCTTGCTACTCTGCTACTCAACCACGCATCTTCTCAGAGTATACTCTACAGACTATCTTGGCATTCTGCAACCAATAAAGCATGCTGTTATTAAAGGTGTCATGACGTTGAGTCATTCCTCCGTAAATGAACGCTTCTGATGGTGCTCGCAGCGCTTATAGCGAGCAAACGCAGAATGTACTATTTGCACACTAGGAACTATCTAGGCAGCAAGTTGACATTTTGTCGTTTTTTCCTTTGACGTTTTATAGATTTTTTACGTAACAGCCCTGTCATGCTAGTGGTGAGGGAGCGAGGCCGACTCTAAATGATGGAGATATCTAAGAATGATGCTGGCTGACTTTGCAAGCCGTGGATGAGACTGAGCAGTCATCATCGGATGGTCGTACAGACTGTATCCTGTAGAGCGATTAGACTTACCAACGCCTTAATTTAACAGTATGTGTGACAACTATGTATCACAAATGCGTAATACTGTGGGAACCAGAAGCTTCTGAACAATAGAACGTCTCGTCATCGACACCAAAGATGCAACGTTTGCACCCCCAGCAGGAGTCTGTAACGTCAAAAATGAAGTTAAGTCGATTTTTCTTATTTTAGCTCGTAGCTCCTCCACGCCTGGCTAGATTTTCAAAAGTTCCAAAGATTTTTTGTCCTTGGCATAGTAATAAAACTGTGTCAAAATCTCCTCGCAATTCTAACAGTACTTTCCAATTTATACAGAGATCAATGAGTGATATAAAACCAATATCTAATTTCCGACATTTTTCGCGATTACGATACTTCCTCGTCAATTGACGTGAAATGTAAAACATTGATTGAGTTCTCAAAATAACCATGTTTTCATTATAGTCTACCTTGAGTTCAATACATTTCCAGCGATTTGATATTTGATTTGTACGTAGTCGTGCCGTAAGTTCTGTCCCATGATAATCTCATGATAAAAATGAAACAAGATAAGATATATTTATATGAAAGATATTATTTATTCGACAACATTTTTAGAATTCATAATCAAACAGTTTTATTCAAAATGTCCCCCCTTGGCCTTCACACACTGCTTCAATCTCGCGGGCCACTCATCTATCACTGCACGCACAGCTTCCAAAGGAATAGCTGCCGCTGATCGGATCAAATCCGCTTTCAGGGACTCGATATTACGGTGGGCTTTGGAGCAGGCCAACTGCTCTAGCAGGTCCCACAACTTGTAGTCTAAAGGACTCCCTGAGGGCCAATCTTTAGCAGCAATGAACTCTGGCACATTGCTTTCCAGCCAGCGCTGCGTACTCTTAGCCTTGTGAGCGGGGGCGGAATCCTGCTGGTAGACCCAGTGTTGGTTGGCAAACAATGTACCACTTAAAGGCTTGACGATAGGATCCAGTATGTCGCTCTGATAGTTTGCCGCTTTTGTTTTCACGCCCTGTTTACAGAAATGGAGCTGAGTGACCCCTTCGTAGGACACCCCCCACCAAACCATGACTGACGCAGGGTGGTGGCCTCTCTCAACTCTCGGAATGATCTCCGAAGCTTCCTGTGAACTCCTTGCATACACTTTGTCATTTTGTCGGTTGAATTTTTCTTCTATGGTGAAGATTTTCTCATCCGTGAACAAAATCTTTCGGAATCCCCCAGCTGCGTACCTCTCCAAGAGCTTCTTGGATCTTGTCGCCCTAGGTCTTGTTTAATGATGCGCGACATCGTCCGGACAGGAATCTTCATTTCCCTGGATAGGATCTTCTGCTTCCGGAGTGGATTCCTTTGAATCCTGGCTTTTACGGCTTTGATGGCTGCTGGAGTTCCTTACTTGACGAGGTCTTCCGCTTCTTGGCCTGTCATCAACAGAGGACGTCTCATTGTACCGCTGAATGGTCCTAGACACAAATTTACGCGATATTTGAAGGCCGCGTAAGAGTTCAAAAATCTGACTAGCACTGTGATTACACTTATGTAAAGCTATCACTGCAATACGGTTCTCTGCCTTGCCCCACTCCATCGTTATGCTTCGAGAGATCAATACAAACTGAGGTATATGTAATTACCCGAAAAGCGCTTAATCAACTGACACCACAATGTAAACAATCGGACAAGTATTAACAGGTCTACACTTGTTTGAAAACGAGGGACAGAACTTATGGCATGGTACCTTTACTGAAGTAATTTGGATGTTGCAACATTTTCAGACGATATTGACGCAACCGCGTTCAGTACTACCTGCGGCTTAATGTTGCAATTTGAGGGCATAATCCAGGTCTCATCCATAATTGTTAATTTTATCCATAGCGGTTTTATAGGTAGGTCTTACTCGAATTTGTTTTTAAACCAAAGTTAACGAATGAGGCACCCTCCCCGCCAATAGCTGTCTAGACCAAAATTTATATTACAAAATATGAATGTTCATTTGAGATTCCCACAGCCTCAGCACTTGTATGCGTTGCCATTACATCATAAGACCTAGCCACGGGTACTGTTTACATGCTTGCCAGACAGACCCGCCTGACTTCGACACTAACCGTGTCGAACTTCGTAGGTTCAGAACTGTCGAACAATGACCTGACGAGGCTATCACAGTTCTACTAATCTTAGGCAGTTCAAAAATCGGATTGATAAAGTTTCTTCAACCTCCTCATAGCAGCCGCGGACTTCTGTCTTTGCGGCTACTTCAGTATAGAAAGAGAATTAAGAAATCATGGTTAGTAGCAGTTTTCGGGCTTCCACTGCATGCCTCGTCGTGAAGTTTAAACCTATATTTATCATATCAGTATAAATGTCATATCCGTCCAACCCTATTTTTGCAAATATCTAGCACACTTTGCAAATTTTTTTACTGCAACATGCTGTATGTCCTCAAAGTTTTGGCACAAAGTTCATTGGCTTTAATTTTAACGTACACAAAATAATATCAAGTTGCCTTTGGAAACAAAAGTTTGTTTACTTACTGTACTGTCAGTTGACAACTTCTATTTATTTTGAAGTTTTCGCTTTAAAATGTATAAATTAGAAATAAGAAAAAGTATCTACAAGATGGTTGCGCGGGTACCCAAAGTTGAAATCTGTCGAATATTCCAGGATGAAAACATAGTGCGAGCAGGGAATACCAAGTCTGAATCTCCGAAGAGGCCAGAGAGATTAGTGAGAGGTGCAAAAAATCAATTTGATGCAAATATTTATCTGTAACATAACCTCAAAAAAGAGCGCTGACACGGAACAGCAGAAAACTATAAAAGTCTAGGAGGCCATAAAGGCGTACAACAATTGTAGGAACGACTGACGATACGGCCCTAAGCCGATCCTGCCATTTACACTCCCCAATTCCCCAGTTCCGTAATACCAGTTGGAAATTACTGGAATGTATTGTTATTACCCTGGAGGATATTCCCTTTCCAGGTAACTAGCAAGCACTTTATTAAATACTTCTATTACAGCGTTATAAAAGTAAATTGTTAGCTTCAAATGGCTGAGCAGCTAAAACGTCTCATTATTTGATGGAATTGAACAAAACAACCTATATTGTGCTTGTTACAAAATCCCACATCGTAGGTTAAACATTCCCATAAGATGGGTGTGACTATATACTCGTATGTCTGCCATTCCCACCAGCGAGCTGTTTTGTTTCTTATCATTTGTAGTAACGTCAGAGTCAGGTAAGGGGTTAAAGAGGGTTAAAAAGAGCGAAAAGCGTGCAATATGTATGTTAGAACGAATAATGGCCTCGTCACTCGGGTTGCTAGGCAACGAGGTGCTTCCATCTCTTTCTAACACACATGGCATATGGTTTTCACAGTATACATCTCTCCATATTTTGTCATTTTTGTATGCAAATATTATTCCATGTATTCTTTTACAGAGGTGCTAGATCTTCTCGCACTAAAGTTCTTACGTACCATATTTTTCTATCCCTGAAATAATCTTGGTACCTGGTGTAGCGCCACTGATTGCAGATAAGACATGACATATACGAACAGATCAGCGAATTGGGTTCCAAGAATTAATGCAAAATCGAAAGAGAAATTGTCCTTCAAACTGTTTTCGGTGTTACTGCATTAGCAGATAATAATTGTTGTCGTATGTCGTGGGTAGGTTATATTCGGGGCTAGTACTGGCACTGGGACTGACGCAACATTTCATAGAAGACCTATTTAAAATGGCAATGGCATCCGCAGACAATGCGAAAACGATGACTTCGTTAAAATAAAAAATCCCATTAGTTTTTTGTGATACTTTATTGGAATAAAATATTTTCTAATCATCTATGTTTGTCTGGTCGCAATTGCATTTCCTTGTATCCTGGTAATTCTTTTTGCATCTCCACAATATAAAATCGAAATTAACATGCATGTAAGAGCATGGTTGCATGCGAAGATACAAGTAAAAGCTGTAAAATTCTGAAGCAAATTATGAGATTGTAAAATCTGAAAAGACATTATTAAGCATGCCCTTATGAGACATTTACAGTGCTTTTCAGAAAGGTCTTCCGCTTGACATGATTAAGTTGACGCATGGATACTGTACCCTAACATAACAATAACAGTTGGACAGTTCAAGATGAGTGCTATTTTGCCACATCTTTTAAATAGAGTAAGAGATCACGTGATATATTGGATATTTTGGAAGGTAGTGATTTTAAATGCTGTGGTCACAAAGTACTCATAAGGGGATTAAAGATAAGATATTCCAGCTACCAGCTTAACGCATTCAAAAAATAAGTACCTGTATATAAACTTATGTTGTAATTATTAAATAATTTTTTCAAGATTTTCTGAACCCTTTATAGTTTAATACTGTTATTTAGGTACTAAACGTATTCTACCACCACAAAAAAGTTGGGCCATATCGTTGACCCCAAGGCCGTGCTTGTGTCTTCAGTTTTGTCAAAAGAACATAAATTTATGCATCAGTTCCACCAAAAGAAAACGCTATTAGACTGCCTACATCACTTTGCAGACTGAACTGTTTTCCCGAGAAATAGCGGACTTACAATTATAAAAACAAGCATTACTGACATTAGTAACAGGAAATTCTCATCTACATCCAATCATGTTTTACGTACCCTACTTTCCGAATTTCATCCATCAAATGATTTGGATGCATGTAAAGTTAACTAGACAGGTGAACATCTTGATACAAACAAGCCACACGTTGAACGCAAGTCTTTTCATTCTTAACCGTTACCTGCGTATGGGAGACGTCCAGCCTTTGTTACCATCAACAGACAGGTGATAACCTTAACCTCTAGTTGGGTACATGCAGCACATATAATTACCGGGTCTAAAGTAAATAAATAAATATTAACTTTGCAGGTATTACCGGCTAAATATGAAGTTCTCACATTTGTTATGTTTGGTGAGTACCGGAAGTGAGTTTAGCTTTGTATTTTTTTGAATGGAATATGCAAAACTTTTGATTTTACCGTTTGTAAACTGCAATAATATACTTAAGCAATCTTGGTCATGGAGATCGACTATGTTTTCCGTACAAATGAGTACAATGAAACACAGGTACCTAAACATTTTATATTTTACGACCTTTGCTTTTACTTATGAAACTTAGTTACATTGGTCTTGATAAATTAGCAGTATCTTTTTTTGAAAGTTATCCTCAGCGTGTTTTATTAAACCAAATATTGTCTTCAACATCGTTGATACCTTCTGGTGTGCCTCAAGGTTCTATATTAGGACCTGAACTATTTTTCATTTATACATTTGATTTAAATAAAGAAGATAATCACTCATAAAGTCATTTGCAGATGTTACTTAGTTTAAACGTAGTTTTAATTCAAATCATATAGCAAGTGAATCAATAATTTGGCAAAGTGATGTCAACAATTTGACTCAACATTCTTCTAGTCACAATCTGAAAATAAACCCAGAAAAATCCAATATATTATTGCTCTGTAATGAAGAAAAGAGAAATACTGCGCCATCTCACTTGATGATTTCTATATTTAATTAAGTTATAAAGTCTACTTAGAGCCAATTTCAACATGATTAATATTTGACCGTCAGTTTGGACTAATGGGAAAAGACCTTATCGAAATGCAATATGACGGAAGCTATCAGAGCTCTCTGAATATCAGTGACTTCTACTGAATTATTGAATAAAATCATGAAAAAGCAATTGTATTATAAACAAAAGCACTTTTTGATTCTAACATGATGCTTTTGAACAGAGAAAACAGGACAACTTTCAAGTATTTTGATTTTTATTATAAATGTACATGTAATACATCGGTTATCCCTTTAGCCAATGGGAATGCGAAAAATAATAGATCGATTTTCTAGCTGTTAAATTTAATAGCAGGTTTGGACGTTTGTTAATGCATGACAATCTCGAATTTGTTAAGTTCAACATACTGAGTGTTTGTATGTTATCATTATAGCGACATATATATTGAAATATGCGGATTTTTTTGTATTTTGCATGAAAAAAGAATATAAAATGTGTTTCGACCAATTCCTCAGCTTTCGTTACATCATAGTAATAATCATTTGTCATCAACTTATGGATGGGTTAATGAATTTCTGCAAAGCAATCAAAACAGTATGTAATCTCCATCCTAAAACACCGGTATCTATAAAACGTGTCAATCCCTACATCTCCGTGGTACATAATGGAATTACTATAGACATGGACTTAAAATTATTAGTAATTACTGAAAAATAAGAGCAAAAAAGTATAAGCAAAATAGTAATAAAATATTGGTGGCTAATTTTTTTGACTGGTGGGGACACAAAACACATATACTGAAGAAGTCTTATTCCACGGTCCACGCTATTCAAGGGTAACTCGCCCGACTTATGTCATGACAGTGGCCATTTCTGAGGGTGCGCTATGGTTGCCAGATTGTGCAATAATACCCCGCAACGTATCCAGCTCAACATATAAAACTGAGATTGCTAAAGTCTTATATATGTATATAGAAATTTGGTGGAATATGAGAGATATAATAGCGTGTGTTATAAATAATTTGCTCTATCGTGATGAGTAAGTGCTTTTTTGAATGTTAAAATAGCAATGTCGATAACACAAGCTGTTATAAGATCACTTATAGGACAGTGACATTTTATGTATACTGATCGGTTGACGAACATAACTGTACAGTCACCGCATTGCAAGTGGGGAAATCGATTTTTCTCAGGCACCAAAGGAATGGTTAAATAAGAATTCCATCTGTAGCGCATGGAAAATTTTCATTCACGACCTGAAGAAACTTCTGCTGGTGTTTTCTACTGTCTTGTGCTTTGAGTCTTTGAATGCTACTGGCTTGTGATTTACAATTCTTTTTTTCGATAATTCACCATAGTAACCCAGAAAGGGACAAAGAAACACAAAGGCTGCTCTGAATGAATGAATGAATCTTGAAATTAGAGACATTCCGGCTACCATAAAGAGCCAGTGGATAGGCCGTTAAGCGGACCCTTATGCACCTCTACATTCCTTAGACCACAAGCCTCGACCTTTCAGCGAAATTGCTGGCTGATCTTGTCTTCGCCTGAGTGTCTGCCGTCTCATTGCCCCTTATCCCAGCATGCCCCGGACCCACATTAATGATACCGGATGCCTAGCTGCGAGGTAATCCAGTGCCTCTCTGCATTGCAATACATGACTCGAGGTAATCTTACAGGCTCTTAGTGCTTTCATTGCAGCCTGGCTGTCGGATAAGATTGTTATTCTTCTCTTAGGCCCACCCTCCTCCAGAACGTGATATACACAAGCCAGAATCGCAAAGATTTCCGCCTGGAAAATAGTAGTGTATCCACCGAGAGGCAGAGATAGCCTAGTTTTAGGTCCAGAGACCCCAGCACCTGACTCTGGAACACGTGTGCATGCAACATGCACACATTCTGGATCTACCTACGAGATCCGCCGGGTGGTACCTCCGCGTTCGACAGTCAGAGACCATCTACCACCTACGGACAATAACAACATCCATAACCAAGAGAAAAGTTTCTCCTGGGACGGGATTCGAACCCGTACAACGCACGGCGACTGATCAGGAGACCGAAGAGTCTACTACTGCGGCCACCGCTGCTGCCTATACCTACACGTACACGTAACATAACCACGTATTTAGGGATTGCAGACTTAACGTGTACACGACAGTGTTAATATGTGATTCTGCAGTAAAAAAATCTTGGGTGGCTACTTTTTATATGGAAATTAATTTTTCCTAAATGCCTTTTTCCAGCTTTACCTCGACGTCAAATATCAACACAGCAGGCTTACAAAATGTCGTTGAGGAACTGGAAAGAAGTGCATGAATGTGTTGAAACGCAACACCTAACAAAAAATTGGAGTGAAAAGGCTTTTTCATGTAAGGGTTTGGAAGTGCAAGTTTGCAAATGTAGGATAAACTAAAAACACACGGTGGGTGACGTTAAAATAGATAATCACATATGGATTACAAAAGTTCCAAAAACATGGAGAAACCTTCAGCTAAACTGAAAATCTGACGGAGAGATCTTGAGGCTGATTGGGTATATTTGACGGTCTGTTTGGTACTCGTACTCTATTGGTGGAAAATAATGGTTTGTTAGAATGAGAAATCGGCCCTTAGTCTGCAAAGATACTTGGAGTAGTTTTTGACACTAAAAGGTTTGTTGTAGATGTAAAGAGTATGTCCCAAATAAAACGAATTTTAGGTTACGTACTCTTATAGCAAATCGATATTTATTGAATCTTAAACTTAGTAAAACGAGATATTATTCATATCTGTCCTAAATTGCTGGGATATTTACCCATAAAAAACATTAAAGAACCATGTGGACACATGATGTTTTATACAAACTTTTAAAGATGTCATATTCACAGTATCCTCTATCTATTCTTTTTTTGTATGAAAAGCTACTATAACAAATTATTAATATATGTAACTGATGCACAAAAGTATTTAAAAACAATTCGCTTGTAAAGAAAATAAAACAGGCGATTTATCAATTATTAAATCTTGAACTATTTCAGTACCCTAAAAACTCCCTATCATACATTTGGCAAAAGTGATAACTCTATAAAACTAATTGATATAATGATATACTTCATTAAATTCTATTGGCAAATGCAAATGTGAGTTAAACATTCTATATAATCCTAAAATGATTATGTTCAACCGATTTCATAAAAAATGTTAATCAAATATTCCAAGTATTGAAGAGAAAGGGCTCTAATATAATGCATTTATTATCGATTAGCGGAACATTTGTCACTGAGTGACGTAATGGCGTACGAAATTCGTTCGCGAAGTGAGCCTATCTTCTCAACTTATAGTATCATGGTCTGGTAAAATTAACGCCCTACTTAGCGTCCTAATAAGCAAACACCTTTGACGAGAGTGGTCGATATCGTTGTCGGATTAAAGGAAATAGTCTGGTAAAATTAACTTCGCAAGTTTGTTAGTTAGATAAATTAGGAATATAGTCTGGTGAAAGTAGCTTCTAACATGGCAAGGGACATAAAGCTTTTATAACATCCGAGATATAAGCAAAATTTCATATAGGTCTGACTAGCGTCTAAGTAGAATAAAAGATAAAAATAAATTAATCGTACTATTTTATCACTGGTTGTTAACGTGGTCACCATACTGTGTTCAACATAGATTAGTACAGGGAGCCAAAGATACTTTATCGCACTGCAGCATAAAATAGGCTGTGGGTCTAAAATTGGGATTTGATGCCCTGTAAACCTTTTCATGAAGAGTACTTTACTATTTCGTAGATAAAAAAATGTTGTCTTTACGTAGGCAGAAGCAAGTTACATCTATCTAGACGATTGCATTCAGTTATGGTGATTCCTTGGGTTAGTAATGAAAAATATGTTTTGCTGCAAACATAATACCCTGTAGGTAATTTTTTCTACATAATGTTTCCTTTACATGTTTAGACAGACACGTAATTTTCGCATTAGTCAAGAAGAGAATCTCCATTCGTGTATATCCAAACGTGACTTTGCGCAGCGTTAGCTACCATTAAAGGAGTATCAAACACATCCCAGACCAGAATTAATGCGTGATGTAGAAAGGGAAGTTATTAATACTTGGTATGCCGAAGATTGTGGAATTTCTGAGAGCCTCTCTACCTCTTCGACAATCTTTATCACTCTGGTGGTGAAAAATTACTGTAATTTTCCTTTCACACATCCATATTTATGACCACCTGTTTGCAACTTTGTTTCTTTTGGGTAGGAAAAGGAGAAAAATGGGCATACGGAAGAGTACATATTGCATCAATATTAATTTATTCACATCACTAAGGTTGTAATTTTTGTCTTACTTCCCACGCTTGAAACGGATGTTGTCGATTTTTTAAGATTTCTGCGTGATAATAATCGTCTGAAATTGACATGTTTGCTTTCCGTCTTTAT